TGGTAGTGGTAGTGGTAGTGGTTGTGGTAGGAGGAGGAGGCGGAGGCGGAGGCGGAGGCGGAGGCGGAGGCGGAGGCGGAGGCGGAGGCGGAGGCGGAGGCGGAGGCGGAGGCGGAGGCGGAGGCGGAAGCTCTTCTGACTTGGCGAGTCTACTTAGTAACCCTGGGCATGCTCTTTTTGGCTTGCAAACAGCCAGACGCCAATAGTCGATTTCGCTTTGCTGTGATGTGAGATGCTGATGAAGAGCCGTGCTTGCTCCAAAGTCTGGATCGAGTTGTCACTAAGCTTTAGGGCTCCAGGACGATTTTGGAGTAAACCCTAAACCCTAAACCCTAAACCGTAAGGTTTAGGGCTCCAGCACGATTTTGGAGTTTCCGACTTGGCACGGCATTGCACAAGCGGAGACTTCAGCTCTAAGGCTCCGGCGGGTAGGCTTTCGGGCAAGGTTCAGGGCTTTGGGCACGCGGCTCCAATAGCAACTCTCAGGTCTCGTCGAAGCCTTCGGCTTTCTTCGACAACGACTTTCAATTGGGTTTAGGGCTTAGGGGCACAACGCCGAAGCCCCTGAAAGGGCAAGGAGGGTGCTATATCCATTTGTCCACAGGCTTGATTGAACCCTAAACCTTAAACCCTAAACCCTAATAAGGGTTGCATGAAGGTGCTGGAAATCTGTAGGGGTTGGGTAATCTCAAATAAACCCTCCGCCCATTTTTGAGCCCAGACAATCAGCTAAACCCTAAACTCTAGACCGCCGAATCTGACGCAGAGACACACAACACACACACACACACACACCAAGGAACCCCCCCACTCTCCTCCACACTTGAGTTCCCATACCCTCTATCTTTACACCATTTAACATTATTTCCGTAGAACCCTAAACCCTAAACCCTAAACCCTAAGCCCATTGGAAGCCCAAGGAAGACCTAAGCCAAAGGGCATCGGGCACAGGCATCGGCGTTGTGCTGGCAAAGGCAAGGGCACCGCGCGACCTTATGACCTATCGGGGAAAGCCGTGGCCCCCTGAAAAAAGCGAATTCCTGGGCTTTGTGTCACGGATCTTGCTTTTGTAAGGGATCCAGTTTAGGGTTTAGGGTTTAGTGCAGTTGTGGGTTTAGGGTTTATACAAGGTAACTATGAAGAACTAATTCAAGTTCCTTGACAAGAACCCAGATTCTGAAGCAAGGATAACCACCATGCTTGGTCGCAGTAGGTGGCTCCTCGCAGTCCTTGCGGTAAGGGCAAAATTCTGGGTACATCTCAAAACTCCCTGCCCATACTCTCACATAAAGGCTGTTCTCAAGGCTGTCATAAATGAGGGAACAATGGACTTACACTTCCTGCTAAGTAGATCGTGCGAAGAAGGAGCCTACGTCGTGGCTGCCTGGACAGGTATTTGGGAACAGCTGTAACTTAAGTTCGACCTTGGCTGACCTATCTTAAAGACTCGTGCGGATGTACGTTTGAGGGATTGAGGGTTGCAAGGTTTAGGACTTGAGCGTCTTTAGGTTTTCCTGTGGCATCATCCGCTTCGTATACCCTGGAGGAAGCCGAAATAAGACATACAATAGAAGACGCCACGTGACAAAACTAGGCAACACCCCTGCATGATTCCTTCCATGGGCGGGACAGTTTTGACAGCCCGTCACTCGACAAGGCTACCACCTTTGCCAAATGGTCTGTGGGATTCCCACCTCTCTCTCCATTTCTTCTGGGAGAGAGGTAAGTCTCCGAGGACCCATGGTCGGACCACATGAGCAGGAATTACGAATATTATCCACCTATAGTCCGGTTTAGGGTTTAGGGTTCAGGGCTTAGGGTCCGCTGTTGCTTATACGACAAGCGACGCAATTTCCAAGTATTTTGGGTCCTTGGAGAATGTGTTGGCCCGGGCGTTGATAAATAAAGTCGTCTTGCATGCCGCCAAAAAATAGGCAGAAAGGCGGAGAGCTGGCTTAACATATGGGTAGTTCTCTAAATTAGGGTCCCTTTTAGGGTCCTTTTTGATAAGGGTGCCGTACTATATTGGGAACCTAAAGAGGGACTCTAATTTAGAAAACTACCCATATGAGCCCAGTATACTTGGAATAGTGAAATAGGGTTTGGATGTATATTGGAGTGTAGTCGTAATAACGACTCCTAAGGAATAAGATTGGTATATAATTGTTTAGGCTCCCATATCATGCCGTACGACTTTGTCAATGGCGCGACTTCCTCGTATCATTGTTGCTGCAAACACAACCGCCAATGCCATAACTTTTGCTGCCATCAACATTGTCACCAGTATCAAGATCTTTGTCAGTGTTGTCGTGGTTGCTGCCAAGCAGCCACTTCATCCACTGCCCAAACAAAAATGCTATTGTGGCTATAAATCCGAACTCACTACCAATATCATCATGCACTTGTCACCGCCATGCTTGTCTTTGTCCTCCGATCAATCGCAACTCTAAGGGTAACGATGGACATCCTCGTCATGGGCGTACGAAACCCCCTCAAAATGCAATACGGACCCGGTACAGTAAAACCGTACCAAACCCGAAGGACCCTGGGTTTGGGGTTTAGGGGTTTCGGGGTTTGGGGGTTTAGGGTTGAGGGTTTGGGGTTTGGGGCTTATAGGAACCCTCTCAACCCGAATCGCTCAGCTTTGGAAGCTCCGTTGTTTCGCTCTGCGCCCTTCTGCCCGCCATGAGTGGCGGAGTGAATTCCACGGGCCGGTGGGAGCTCGGCAGAAAGTTTAGGGTCAGGATCTCGGGTGGAGGGCCTGTCTATCTTGTTCGTTGGGTTTTGCTCCGCGTTTTTTCAGAATCGGGTTCTAAATGAATAGGGTTTCAGGCTCTGTGGCTATAGAGCTTAGGTTTGGGTCGCTGGGGTTAGGGAATCGGGACAGTTGGGCGCCTTTTTCCAGCACGTCTGGGGGATGGGTGTAGCGTGTCGGCTTGCGGAGTTGTTGTTTACACCGAAAGGAACGACTGACTTTGGCGGTGGGTTCCGACAACACGGAGGTGCACATACGCCTTGATTTGCAATGTAGTGACAGGATTTTAGGACTTTCTTTTGGGGTGCGGTCTGGGGCGTCCTGCCGGAAATAGCCCTGACCCTTATCACTTATCACCCAACCCTGAATTGTTTATCCTCAGCTCCACATCCATCAATCCAGCACTCGACCGAAAACATACCTCATTTAGCCCACAATGCTGTGCCCTTGGAGTTCTGCGGCACTGAAGTGTTCCTTGTTGCTTTGGGGTCATGGCTTACAGTCTTTGGGGTTTAGGGCTTGGGGTTCAAGGTTTGAAGGCTTGCGATTTCGCTGGCATCCGCATGGCTTGCTAGCGTAGCCGCATCAAAGCCAACGCTGGTAGCGCCATGCCGTCGATGTGACGCTAGTCGATGACCATGATCAGAAACCTAGAAACAACTTGCGTACCTTTAAAGAGATGCTGTCGCACTCCAGGGGAAAAGGCAGCCAAAAGCAAAGGCCGAGCGTGCCACACAGCCAGAATCCGAATTCATCGCGTAAACTGATGCAGGAAGTCCATGCAAACTAACGCCGCCAAGAGCTAAAAGACAAAGTCAACTTCTGAAGGGGCAGTTCAACCATTTAGGGATCTATCTCAACAACAAGACTCACTTAAACCCTACACCCTGTGGCCCCTAGAAAACTCTGTGCTCAATGCCCTTACCTCTAGATCTCACTCTCTGTAGGAGCTTGCCACAGAAACTCCAGCGGCGGAGACGCCACCGATAGGAACCGGTGCGAAGTGCTGGACCTGCCTTGGAACTTCGGGTTTGGCAAGTTTTGGGGTTTATGTACAGTTTAGGGTTTAGGGTTTAGGGTTTAGGGTGTAGGGTTTAGGGTTTAGGGTTTAGGGTTTAGGGTTTACGTTTAGGGTTTCAGGTTTAGCTAATGCAAATTGTGTATGTGTCTCGGTTTTGAAAGCCCAAACCCTACACCCCAACACAAAAAAGAAGACGTAACACCCCGAATCCTGCGAAATCTCAACACCAAACCACAAAGCAACGCTTTCTAGTCCACCTACCTTACAAAACCCTCTGGAAAACCTTGTAATTAAACCCCCATCTAGCTAAGCAAATCTAAAGCCACTTCAAGTCAAGTTTACACCCTTGTTGCAACAGGCTTTCCACTTCGCCCAAACCCGAAACCCCAAACCCTAAAAACCCTGAACCCTAAAACCGAAACCCTAGAATCCCTGAACCCTAAACCCTAAAACCGAAACCCTAAAATCCCCAAAACCTTAACCTTGGGCCCTAAAACCGAAACCCTAAAAACCCTAAGCCCTAAAACCGAAACCCAAAACCCTAAACCTTAAAACCGTAAACCCTAAAACCGCAACCCTAAACCCTAAGCCCTAAAACCGAAACCCCAAACCCTAAACCCTAAACCCTAAAACCGAAACCCTAAACCCTAAAAACCCTAAACCCAAAGCCCTAACACCGAAACCCTAAGCCCCAAACCCGGAACCCTGCAGAAGTGCCAAGGAACTCCCGGAGCGATTGAAGTTCGACCTGTCAAGGCCGCGTGGAAGACTATGTTGGGTTTAGGGGTTATAGGGTTTAGGGTTTAGGGTTTAGGGCTTTTAGGGTTTAGGGTTTAGGGGGTTTAGGGTTTTTAGGGTTT